ACACCCCCAGCCCTATTTTGTATTTTATTTAGAGATAGGGTCTCACCGAGTTTCTTAGTGTCTCACTTTTACTGAGGCTGGATTTGAACTCGTAATCCAGCCCTTGTCCTCTTCTTTTTTTAAATGTATGTTTTAGATGTTGATAGATCTTTTTTAATTTTATTCATTTATTTATATGTGGTGCTGAGAATCAAACCCAATGCCTTGCACATGCTAGGAAACCGCTCTACCACTGAACCATAACCCCTGCCCCCTTGTTCTCTTCTTAATGAATACAAATCATACTGTATATTAAAGACCCATCGTTACTAGGCAGGCTAGTATGTGCCTGTAAACCCAGAGACTCAGAAGGCTGAGGCAGGGGGATGGTAAGTTCAAGACTAACCTTAGCAATTTAGCAAGGCACTAAGCAATTTAGCCACACCCCGTCTCAAAATAAGGAAAAAAAGGTAGGTAGGGAGGGAGGGGTGTGTGTGTGTGTGTGTGTGTGTGTGTGTAGGGTGGTTATTGAGAACACAGCTCACTGGTAAAGGTTTCAATCCTCAGTGAACCACTCCTCAAAAAAGGACCCACCTTTCTATACCGCAGCCTCATTTTAATGAACTTTAATTACATCTGCAATTGATTTATTTCTAAATAAGGTCATGCTGTAAGGGGTAAGGACTTCAATGAATCTTTTTTGGGGAAAACAATTCAGCCTGTAACAGTGGCAGATGGCAGAAAAAACCTAGAGAAAAACTGATTCCACAAATATGGGTCACCTATGTGGGGTAGAAAGGAGGGCAAACAGGGTAGCCAAGCTTTTTTACATCAATAATCAACACAGATTAATGCCTATAATATTACTGAAGAAAGACGAATTGATTCTGAAATCTTATACAAAATGTCATTTAAAGAACAATGGCACTGGCTCCGTGGCGTACGCTTATAATCCCAGCAACTCTGGAAAGTGAAGCAGGAGAATCACAAACCCAAAGCTAGTCTCAGCAACTCATCAAGGCCCTAAGCAACTTAGCAAGACCCTGTCTCAAAACAAAAAATAAAACAGGCTGAGGGTATGGCTCAATAGCTGAGCACTTCTGGGTTTAATCCCCTATATGGGGGGTGGGGGGCGAGGGAGTATAATGGCAAAACAGGTTCGACACATAGCTCAGTGACCTGCTAAGCATGTGCAACGTCACAGGTTCTATCCCCAGTTCTGCAAAACAACATAAGCATGTATGCACACACGCGCGAGCGCACACACACACACACACATACAAGCACAAAACATTCTGAATATGAAAAGACTCCTAATGTTGGCTACCACAAAGTATGTTTGCAGAAGTTACCACTAAGACAAGTTTAGCTAGATAACAGATGACGAGAGTAAAACAATAGACAGCAGTGAATCAATTTAACAGGAGAAATAAGAATAAATTAGGATAATGCTACAGAGTAATATAAACCAAAATCTTATAATGCTGATTGTAAAGAAAGAATTATATTTATACATTGCTGGGCATTGGTATGCTGATTACATTTTGCTTAATATCTGAGCACTGATATATAATTTTATGCAGAAAACTCAAGTAACAGATGTAAGTAAAGTAAAAGACGTAAACAAAAACTAAAAGGGGCTGGGGATGCAGCTCAGTGGTAGACTACCACTGGACACTGTGTTTAATACCCAGACCACCAAATAAAATAAAAATTTTAAAAACAGTTGCCTAAGAAGAGAGGATTATTCAATATAATGTGTCATAATGCATGGGATCCTGGAGTATAAAAGTTACATTGGTAAAAGCTAAGGAAATGTGGTGGGGGGTGTGTGGCAATGGCACATGCTGTGATCCCAGCCACTGAGGAGGCTAAGGCAGAAGATCACAAGTTTGAGGCCAGTTTGGGCAAATTAGTGACTCTGCCTTAAAAAATAAAGTCTAGAGATATAGCTTAGTGGTAGAGCACCTACATGGGTTCAAATACATGGTACCACCAAACAAAACAAACAACAACAACAACAACAAAAAAAAAAACAAGGAAATGTGGTGAAAGAGTATGGGCATTAGTAAACAAGATGTTAATACTGGTTCATTAACTTTAATAAATGAACAAAACTGATGGCAGATGTTAGTAACAAAGGAAAACAGCAGGGTAAATAGGCACTCTCAGTGATTTCATATTTATGAAATTTATTCATAAAGTTTAAAGCTTTTTAAAATAAAAGGTTAGCCATGTGCATTGGCAACACCTCTAATCCCTGCATCTTAGGAGGTTGAGGCAGGAGCTTCACAGGTTTGAAGTGCCTGCAATTTAGTGAGATCCACAGCAACTTAATTAAACCCTGTCTAAAAATAAAAAATAAAAAGGACTAGGGATGTATCTCCATGGTGAAGTGCCCTTAGGTTCAATCCCCAGCACAAAATAAACAAATAAACGAATAAAAATAAACAAGAACTTGATGAGAAAGCACAGTAAGAAACCATTTTGTACCTAGCTAGGACAGGTGAAATAGAAAACAAAGTGTTAAAGGAGATGGGAAAATTGAGCTACATGTCGAACCCGTTTTGCCATTATACTTTTTTTTTTTTTTTTTTTTGGTACACACACCTACTCGAAGAAATGTAAAACTATTGTAGTCACTTTGGAAAACAGTCGGGAAGTTCCTCAAAACTTTCAACAGAGGGCAGGGGATGTGGCTCAGCATGTGCACTGCCCTGGATTCAACCCCCAGCAGAACACACATTAAACACAGTTACCAATTGACCCAGCAGTTCCACTCCTAGGTAAATATCCAAGGAAATGAAAATAGATAACCACTCAAAAATGTGTATATACTTTTCATAGTACATCATTCATAATAATCCAAAAGTGGAAACAACCCAAATGTCCCTCAACTGGAGGCATAAAATGTGGTATAACCACACCACATATATGAATACGTGTGATTTAATCATACAGTGTGATTTAATCATACAAAGGGATAAATGCCTTAAAAAGAAATGAAACAGGCTAAGGATGTAGTTCAGTGGTTGAATACCTGTATGCAGGAGGTCCTGAGTTCAATCCTTAGTATAATTTAAAAGGGGGGGGGGGGAGTGCCACTGGGACTGTGGCTCAGTGGTAGAGCACACAGCTGGCATGTGTGAGGCCCTGGGTTCGATCCTCAGCACCACATATAAATAAATAAAATAGAGGTACTGTGTCAACCTACAGCTAAAAAAAAAATTATAAAAAAAAGGAGTTGAAGTATTGATACATACCACAGCATGAATGAATCTTGAAAAGTTTATGCTAAATGAAAGAGGTCAGTCACAAAATAATACACATTATGTTTGTATCCTTATGAAAGGTCTAGAATAGGCAAATCCACAGACACAGAAAGTCAACTGGTGGTTTCCTAGGGCTGGGAAATTTGGGGAGTAATGAACAGAAATTGTTAGTGTATGGGTTTCCTTTAACGGTAATGAAAACATTCTAATGTTGATCATATTAACAGCACAAACCTGTGAGTATACTAAAAAACTTTTAAATTGTAGATTTTAAATGGGTGACTTGTATGGTATGTGAATTATACTTCAATAAAGTTTTTTTAAAAAAAGACTAGAACACTATAAATTCTTTTTTGCCAAAAAACTTAGAATAGAAATATTTAGTTTATGTCCTAAAATTTTTATTTTAAAACATTACTTCACTGTGAATTCTTAGTCCTTCTCTTCTAATATACAGTAATACTAGTCTTTGTTACATTTGAATATGTATGCATGTATATGTAAATAAAATTGAAGCCATTCTTTGCCACATTCTAGAACCATATAAATTATACATGGATCTATGAACTAATATAGAACAAATGTTTATCTGATTAATATATTTCCTGAGGCTAAAGGTATACATCACTGATAGAGTGCTTGCCTAGCAAGCCTAAGGCCCTGAGTTTGGTAATCCCAGTGGCTCAGGAGGCTGAGGCAGGAGGAATGCAAGTTCAAAGCAGGCCTCAGCAAAAGTGAGGCTCTAAGTAACTCAATGAGACCCTGTCTCTAAATAAAATACAAAATAAGGGTGGGAATGTGGCTCAGTGGTCAAGTGCCCCTGAGTTCAATCCCTGCTACCCTACCCAAAAGAAAGAAAGAAAAAGTATCATCAAATGACAGTGTTTTTAATCAACAGTACATTAATGATAATGGCAATAACTCAATATAGAATTAGGGGGTGTGCTGGGGTGTGAACCTAGGACCTCATATAAACTATACCAGCACAAAATTAGTTTTTAATTGTATAAGTGATTTCTTAAATATATTTAATAGGATCAACAGTGTAACTGGTTTTAAAATTTCTTAAGCAGTATGACCATCCCCTATACATAAAAACGAAAGATGATGAAATATCAATCTAGATAAATAATCAAGAGATGAGTAGTCAAAGGAGAAATCACATGAAATATGTCTTCCAAACTTCAAAAGAAACACACACAAAGCTAACTAAATAAATAAAAGGCATCAGATAAATAAACTCAGTTTTGAGTCTGTAAAGTCTTAAGATCTGTCTGCAAAAAGTAATAAGAATATTAAAGAAATAACAAAAGTCACAGGGTCCAAAGAAGCAAGGTAGAACTTATGACAATGTAAGAGGAAGAATCCATGTTTATAAAATTCCTTCCACAGTGAACACAGGGAAATAAAAATCACATGCATTATTCCTCAGTAAATAAAAACATTTTGAAAGAAACATACATAAAGTTCTAAATGAAGATAAACAACTTCAAACAGGAAGGATTTTTTTTGAATAGCTTAAAAAAACAGTATATAATCTTATTTGACTAGAGGCAAAAAAAAAAAAAAAGGAAAAATGAGAATTTCACACACAAAAAAGACCATTATTAAGGTAGTGTGTAACTATGTAACTGTAATCCTAGTAACTTCTTGGGATGCTAAGGCAAGATTGCTTAAGCAAAGTTCAAGGTCAGCCAGAGCAAAAACCAAAACAAAAATTAAAAATTTTTTCTTAATTTAACACCTTACCTCACATTCTGAGTAGGATTCCACCTTTCAGAGGGCAGTTCTCCACTCTGTGGGTCATCTACAGGAGGATGAAGTATCGAAATGCATACATCTCCATTCTACAAAACACAATATCATATTTAGTAAATATCCCACAGTGCCATACCATACAAAAAGGTACATATCAGTTCTATTTAAGTTTCCTTTGTTCCTAAAAACGTGCATGCTATTAATTAAGGGAGAAAACAATTCTTTTTCTAGCATAATATTCATTTGAACCATCTCTAAAACATATTTCTTAGCTAAAAAAAGAAACACCTATAAGGCCATAAAATAAACTATTAAGTAAAAAAAAGAAAAGACAGGGGCTGGGGATGTGGCTCAAGCGGTAGCGCGCTTGCCTGGCGTGCGTGCGGCCCGGGTTCGATCCTCAGCACCACATACCAACAAAGATGTTGTGTCCGCCGAGAACTAAACAATAAATGTTAAAAATTCTCTCTCTCTCTCTCTCTCTCTCCCTCCCCTCTCTCACTCTCTCTTTAAAAAAAAAAAAAGAAAGAAAGAAAAGACAAATATGAGGGGCTAGAGTTGTGGCTCAGCGGTAGAGCACTCGCCTACCATGTACGAGGCCCTGGGTTTGATTCTCAGCACCACATAAAGATAAATAAATAAAAGTATTGTGTCTAACTAAAAAATAAATATTTTTTAAAAAGTATTTAAAAAAAGACAAACATGATACTTCCTAAATATACAGTTACAAGAACTCACCACTATGGTTATTTTATTTAGTGTCACAAACGTAAATTATAGAACTTAAAGACCTAATCCAGAATTACATTAAGATTATTTCAAATACATAAGGATGGCATAAAAAGGGCAATGCAGAGTATTAATTCAATAGATAAGACAGATATACAAAACACATTTATATAAATGTATCGTTTTTAAAAGATGAAATATTTTTAATAAAATGAAATTTAAATAACTATATTCTAAAACTTTGTAGTACATGTAGATCCCAAAGGAAAAACTAAATATGGGCAGATGAAAAAAGGGAGGTAAAGTAGAAGGACTTGTAGTTGTGGGGATTTGGGATGGGTCTGTAATAACAAATACAACTTTAACAACTTAAAGGAAATTTAGACATAAGTTTGGAGAAATAAACCAACACAATGGTAAAATAATGCTTTGGTACTTGTATTTGTTTTTTATTGCAATAAATTCATTATCTTACATTGACAACAACAAATTCATTATCTTACATTGACAGGCCAATTTATAAAGCAAAACATACCATTTTTAAAAAAGAGAGAAACTACCTTTTCCCCTTAGCATCCTTTATCTTCAAAGCATTGTTTTATTTTTCTTGGCCTTTCTTCCAGAATCACATTTCCTCTAACTCATTTTCTGTCTCTTCCTTCTACTAAGGACTCTTCTGATTACATCAGACATCCCAGATAATCCCAAATAATTTTCCTAAAGTCAGCTGGTTATCTATATTAATTACCCCTTGACATGTAATATATTTACAGATTTGAAGGATTCAGATGTCAGCATTTGGGGAGAATCATTATTTTACCTACTTTAACAGTGAACATTCTAGTTTTGCCGAAGAAAAGAGTACAGAAGTCAAAAACAGAACAAAACAGTAAAACCAGCACAAAAAAATCAAGTCAGAATAATATATTGCTTGGAATTTTAAATGTATGTAACTAAAAATTCTGGGTAATGGAATAACATAAACAGATTTGCATATTTTAAAATAGGCATCTTAGCCAGGGGTTGGCACATGCCTGTAATCCCAGCTGCCAGAGAGGATGAGGCATGGAAAGTTTAAGGCAACTTACAGAGACCCTGTCTCAAAAGAAAAAAAAAAAGTGATAGGGATATAGTTCAGTAGTACAGCACTTGCCTAGCATGCAAGAAAGTCACCCTGAGTGTGTTCTCCAATATCCCTTCCCAAAACAGGGGAGTGTTTTAATTAATACAAACAATGCATTTGACAAATTTCAACGATGAACAGAAAGAAACTATCATAACATGAAAAGGGGCATTTGTAAAAATTAAAAAATAAAAAAAAATCCAGAGCTACATTCCTATCTAAATGTAAACAATAAAAGTTTTCTTCTTAAGAGCAGACCAAGAAAAGGACACTCACTTGAACTACTGCTATCTAACAGTTTTTACTTTTTTTTTCATTCATTCATGGTACAGGGGATTTAACCAAGAGGGTATTCTACCACTAAGCTATACCACCAGGCCCTCTTTTATTTTATGACAATATCTCACTAAGTTGTGAAGGCTGACTTCAAATTGTGATCCTGCCTCAGCCTCTGAAGTCACTGGGATTACAGGTACATGCCACCAGGCCCAGCCTAATATTGTTTCTACTCAGTACAATTAGACAATAAATAATAAAAGAAATATGAATTGAAATGAAGAATTAAAATCATTTGTATTCACAGATGACATGATCCTACACATGGAAAATCCCAAAGAATCAATAAGAAAGCTACTAGAGATAAGAAATTTAGGAAGTTTTAAGACACACAGTAAATCCTCAGCTTTTTCTTTTCTTTTCTTCTCTTTTCTAACAGTACTGGGGATTGAACCCAAGGCTACATCTACAATCCTTTTAATCTTTCATTTTTGAGACAGGGTCTCCCTAAGTTTGATCCCTCTTGCCTTAGCCTCATGAGTGCATGCGATTATAGGTGCATACCATGTGCCTAGTCTTCAAATCAGTGTTATTACCATATATCAGCAAATCACCCTTAAAAAGAACAGTTTCTTAAAAATCCATTCATAAAAGCTAGGGTTGTGGCTCAGTGGTAGAGCACTTGCCTAGCACATGTAAGGCAATGGGTTTGATCCTCAGTATCACATAAAAATGAATAAATAATTAAAGTTATGTCCATCTACAACTAAAAAATTTTTTAAAATACATTCATTATAGGCATTTAAAGGAATAAATCTAATTGAGGTCATGAAAAACCTGTACATTGAAAAAAATAAAACAATGCTCAAAGAAACTTGAAAAGACCCCAAAAAATGTAAAGACACTGTTAAAATGGTAATATTCCACAATTTAAACTACAAATTCAACACAAACCCTATCAAAACACTACCTTCCATTTTTGCAAACACTGACAAGGTCATCCTAAAATTTATAGAGAAATTTAAGTGAACTAAAGTCAAAATAGTTTTGAAAAAGAACAAAATTTTAAGACTCATACTTCCTTGTTTCAGAATGTACTACAAAGCTTACAGTCACCAGACAGTTTAATACTACCATAATGACAGACATATAGATCAACTGAAAAGAATTTAAGAGTCCAGAAATAATCCCATATGTCTATAGTCAATAGACATTTGGGTGGGGTGGGGGGTGCCAGGGATTGAACCCAAGAGTGATTAACCACTGATCCACATCCCCAAACCCCCACTTTTTTAAATTTTTTTTTTAAGTTAACGGACTCTTTATTTTTATTTTATTGGTGGGGGGTGCCAGGGATTGAACCCAAGAGTGATTAACCACTGATCCACATCCCCAAACCCCCACTTTTTTAAAATTTTTTTTAAGTTAACGGACTCTTTATTTTTATTTTATTTATATGTGGTGCTGAGAATTGAATCTAGTGTTTCACACATGCTAGGCTAGTGCTCTACCACTGAGCCACAACCCCAGTCCCCCAACCCTTTTTGATTTTTATTTTGAGACAAGGTTTGGCCAAGTGGCTGAGGCTGATCTCAACCTTGTGATCCTCCTGCCTCAGCTTCCCAAATTGCTAGGATTGCAGGTGAGCTCTACCACTGGTGGCTTGTCAACAGATCTTGGATGAAGAAACCAAGACTATTCAATGGGATAAGAATGGTCCCTGGTCTCTCAACAAATAATAAATGGATTTCCTTAAACAAAAGAATAAAATTGAACTGTTACCTGAAATCATATACAAAAATAAATCAACAATGGATCAAAGATCTAAATGCTAAAATCATAAATTCCTAAAAGAAAACATAGGGATAAATTTTCATGACCTCAGACTTGGTAGATTTTCAGATAACAAAAAAATCATAAGCAACAAAAAAGGACATTTAACAAAAAAGTGAGTAGGCAACCTATTGGATGGGAGAAAATATCTGCAAATCATATATATGATTTCAATATCTAGACTGTCAGAAAGGAAAGGAAAGTAAGGGAAGGGTAGCAGAGAGGGGCAAAGGGAAGGGAAAGGGAAGTAGGGAGCAAACAACAGACATTTCTCCAAAGAAAATACACAACTAGCCAAAATGAGAATGAAAGGATGTTCAACATCATTAGTCATTAGAGAAATGCAAATCAAAACCAAAATGAGATACTACTTGGCTTACACATTTCTGATTAAATAATAAAATATTCATGTTCATGTGTTCAGGTCCCTTCTTAAATACAACTGAGTAAAATCATGTAAAACTGAAATCTATAATTTACAATACAAATATACATAAAATGAACATCATTAATACTAATTTTTGTTTTATTTTTTTTTGGGGGGTGGTGGTGAGGGTGGGAGACAGGGTCTTTAACTCCTGGACGCATGTGATTCTCCCACTTCAGTCTACCAATTTCTGGTGCATACCACTGCTTCTGGACATTATTACTGACGACGTAACAAAATCTTATTTTTCCCCCCCAAACACTGTCTTTGTTTAAAAATAAAGTTTGTGGGTTTTTTTTCCTTTTTTAAGTTGTAGATGGACACAATACCTTTATTTATTTTTTTTAATGTGGTGCTGAGACTCAAACGCAGTGCCTCACACATGCTAAGCAAGTGCTTTACTACTGAGCCACAACCTCAGCCCAACATAACAAAATCTTAACACTTGGCACTTTTATGTGAGTAAATCACAGAGTTTAAAAAAAAAAAAGTCATAGTTCAACCTCATTTCTGATTATTTAATAATAATACAAAATGAAAGTATGGTTTGGAATACCCAGAGAAATAGAGTAGATATGGCAATTAATATGTGTTTGTAAGTTTCCCATTCTGTACTTTAGTCCAAAGGTTGTTGGTTAGTTGATAATACTAAATGAAATTTCTTAGTTTTGATAAATTTAAAATGGTTGTAAATAGATTTA